AAAGGGAAGGAAAGAAGGATAAGAAGAAAATGTGTTTGCGTTGATATTGTTTTGCATTATAATATTATGTTTAATGCTGGAGATCAGCATCACTGGTAAATGCGTGAACTGAAAATGTTATGTTGGGCTCTGGATCCTCTACGTTTGCTGCGCTTGCCATAGTGACATTTGCATCTGCTTTTCTGAACTGACCTCTTAACTCTCTCCCTTACTTTTACTCTTGTACCCTTTCTTCCACCTCTCCTCCTCTTCTTCTTGCTCTCTGCCTGATGTGCATGCTCCTCTTCTCTGCTGCATTCTGGCATCTCTCAGCTATCACATGATCAGGTAATTGGGTCAGCGCTGTTGGCCCATGCTGCCAGTGTATATCTCCCTTTCTTGCCCTTCTTTCCCTGTATAACCCTGTTTCAATCTATCTGCCTGGATCTTTCGTTCTACCTGTATTTTGTCAATGCTATTACTAACTCTTCTCACTAAACCACAGCCCACATGATTACACTTTAATATCACTGCTTATCATTTAACATATAATTAATATTTAATTGAGGTATATTATGTGGAATAACTTGGATTAAGGTTCACAAACAGGAAGATTTGATGGTTTTGCTAAGTCATTCCACACTCATCCACTAGGGGGTGACAATCACATGACTGACAGTTACAGATTATTTAGCTGGCTTTTGTTTCAGTCAGAGAATAATTTTCTATCGTTGCAGAAGAGTGTATTTTCTCCATGAAAACAGTTTACACTTAGATGGAAGGTTTTCTATATTTCTACCAGCTGTCCTGTTTAATTCAAATGCTTTTGTTTTGGACCAAAAAACACCCCAAAATGTCAGTTTTGACAGATGGTGTGGGATTAAGAGATATTATTAGAATAAATAAATAAACATAATAAAACATACATTGTATTTTGGGTCATTTGAACAGATGGTCGCTAGAACGTTAGATTAACAGCTTTGATTTTAGTTCATACATAAATCTAAAATCTTAAGAGTTTAGTATATTATTCATATAATACCTTTCAAAAGATTGGGTTTGGTAATGTTTTTTTTTTTTTTTAAAGTTATCTTTATTTGATTAAAAATACAGTAAAATAGTAATAGTGTGAAATATTGTTACATTTTAAAATAACTTTTACTATTTTAATATAAATATATTTCATATTAAAATATAATTTATTCCTTTGATGGGCAAGCTGAATTTTCAGCATCATTACTCCAGTCTTCAGTATCACATGATCCTTCAGAAATCATTCTAATATTCTGATTTGCTGCTCAAGAAACTATCAGTTTTGAAAACCGTAACTGAATATTTTTGTGGAAACTGTAATATATTTTTTCAAGATTATTTGATAAATAGAAGGTTTAAAGAACAGATTAATTTGAAATGTAAATCATTTGAAATATCACTTTTGATCAATTTAATGCATCCTTCCTTAAAAAAGTATTAATTTCTTGGGGTCACTGACCCAAACTTTTGATAGGTAGTGTAAACACACTGTATATATCATTTTACAATTACTACCAATTACATTAGTAGATCACTGTGAGACTAATGATTTTAAAAAGCATAGATTTTATTAGCTGAGTCAGCAGTATCAGTGTGAACTCTGTCACTAAGGTCAGTCTGTGTACGTGTGTGTGTGCACGTGATCACAGGTGGAGAATGAGCGGGATGCGGAGCTACAACCCAGAGCAGATCATGCTGAGCGCAGCCGTCAGGAGATCCAGCAGAGATGTCAACATCATGAAGGAGAAGCTCATCTTCTCTGGTAAGAGCCACCTAACCACATCCTTTTGACGTTTCTCATATTGCGTGTGTATGAGAGTGCTATACGTAAGCTTATTACACTGTGCTCTGAAATACTGGATTCTGATTGGTCAATCAAATATTTATATAATAATTACTAAACTACATATTTCACCATTGTTCATGGCACAATACTGGTGCTGTTTCTTCATGTGTCATATATTACTTCACATTGTTTCTCTTTTTATACCAAGAAGTTAGAAAAGCTCATTAGCACCATCTTGTGACTCAAATCTGAAGGACTTTAATATTTTTATTTTAAAGGAATAGTTCACCCAGGATTGAAAATGTGCTGAAAATATACTCACCCTCAGGCTATTCAAGATGTACATGGGTTTCCTCATCGGAACAGATGTGGAGAAATTTTGTATTACATCACTTGCTCACTTGTATCCTCTACAGTGAATGGGTGCCGTCAGACTCAGAAACACCACTCCAGTCCATCAAGTAATGTCTTGTGAAATGAAAAGCTATGTGTTTTTAAGTTGATGTTTTTATCAGCTGTTTGGACTCTCATTCTGACGGCACCCATTCACTCCAGAGGATTCATTGATGATGTATTTCTTTGATAAGTAGCTGTGTAATAAGTGGGATAATGTACAGCCAATTTTCATTATCGCATTATCTCCTTCAGAGTGACACAAGATCCCTCTGTCATGGGTTATTTTGTGATTTATGTCCAGTTGAACTTGACTGTTCATGTGTTGAATGCAATGTGTTTTTGGATTATTATTGTGTGTGCATGTGTCCCAGCAATGTTTGCATGCCTCTGTGTGTGTGTGTGTGTGTGTTTGCCCTGTCTCTAAGGTCAGCCACAGTAGCTGTCCACCTCCTGGGTTTGAGTCTGTGTCACCGCATCCCTTCATCCCATTCCATCTCATTCCCTCCCCTCTCCTTCCTGTCTCTCACTGTCTACCACCATCCCGTCTCTTCCTGCATCCATTCTTCCATCAATCCATACTCCACTGACATCCCACAGCTTGAATGATAGCTCATGCAGGGCTGTAGCATCAATGGCCAGGGTAACTGTGGCCTGCGTTTGGTGAGTATGAGGGTGATGATAACTAACCCGATCATTCAGACATGTGGAATTCACAAAGAAGATCTACAGTGTGCTTTTTCACTACTGGCTCTGTTCCAAGTGTGCAAACCCTCATAAGTAGTTACCATAAAAAGCATATTAATATATTAAACCTTATGACTGAGTTGAAATGTTCTATATAGGCATAAACTTAGTAAATGGTCACACATGCACTCCTTACCATTTTTTTTTTTTTACATTTTGAAGTAGGTATTCTTTGTTAGTTATTTTTGAAAAAAGTATCTTTTGCTCACCAAAGGCTGCATTTATATAATCAAAAATGCAGTAATATTGTGAAATATTATTACAATTTCAAATAACTGATTTATATTTAAATATATTTTAAATTTTAATTTATTCCTTTGATGGCAAAGCTGAATTTTCAGTACTTCAGACTTCATTGTCACATGATCATTTAGAAATCATTCTTACCCATGTTGAAAAGAACAGAATTTATATATGTAAATCATAATAAGTGTCTTTTAATGTCACTTTTAATCAATTACCCCCATCTTTGCTGAAAAAAAAAAAAAAATCTTTCTTGCACCAAAACCCACTGGAACGGTAGTTTACATAAATACTGAATTAAATAATTATCAAGAACATTTCTATTGATATTACGGAGTAAAGGTCTTGAATGTAATATTGTTTCCTTCAACTTTGTCTGCCATCTTGAATATGAGAGACATGTCTATTGAAAGTTGACTGTTGAAAGTTGTTTAAAGTAGCGTTAGCATGTAGCTAAGCTAATGAATTTATCTGCTACTCAGCACAAAAACACAAAAAGTAATACTAAAATATAGTTTCCATCTCGGATTTCCTCAGAGAATAAATTGCTTTTCACAATTACACTATCTGTAAACAATATGTGTAATACTAGGGTGACCATACGTGCCATTTTCCCAGGACGCGTCCTTGACAGGATTTGTTTTGGCTTTGTTTTTTCATGTTTTCATGCTTGCTGAAGGTAATGATCGAAAAGTAGTTTGACCAATAACATGCAGGCATTGTACATAATGGACCAATCATGGCGTGTGAGAAGGTGAGATCTACGGTCAAAGCGATGCAAGTGTGAGAAGGTGGGATCTACGGTCAAAGCGATGCAATTACGCGTACATAGGATGTGTGTTCGACTTAAAAGCAGCATGGCTCAGATCGATCACTGTTTGACATCAAAGTACCTCGAGAGCGTTTTGAAAGCATAAGGAACCATCTGTATGGTATTTTGATGTCATACACCGATCGGTCTGTACACGCAAACAAAGCCAAAACCTAGATATTTTAGGCAATATAGAAATCCTGGCCAGGACTGGGAAACTGGGATCCTGGGAAAATGGCACGTATGGTCACCCTATGTAATACTGACTTCAGCCAAGATTTTTAGACAAAAATTCATCTTATAAGGTAGAAAAAGTATGCAGTTTACTATTTTAAACTGCTTTCACATCAGATTCACACCTGTGATGCCTAATAAAGTGCTGTCTAGGTAGGCAGCTCACTAGGGTTTGGAACAGAGCCGGTATATCTCCAGTATGATTGAAGATCCTTGGTTTGTGGTTTGTCATAGTGGAGGTCTTGTAAACGTGGGCGTTAAGCATAATTTGTATTGCCTCCTGTCGTCTTATTCCACAGAGGTGAGCAACGGAGTCACCAGCGATGAACCCTATACGGAAAATGAATTTAACTACTACACCAATTAAGACGTTGCTCATTGACTCATGGAACAAAAAATCACATCACATCCTGATCAAGCTTGTGGTGTCTCCTCTGAACTACTGACTCAACTCTTAGCCTACTGTTTCTGATGGCCCCGTGTACAGAAAATTCTTTTTTTTTTTTCTTCCACTATTAAGTTGCTTGTTTTAAATTCTGGACAGTAAAGAGAAGTACGATGTGCGGTTCTTCTGTTGACTATTACCAAAATTTGTGGCCTCTTCCCCTACGTAACGCTTGAGGATTCTGGAATGCCCGTTACTTGCTTCGTATTGAAAGCATGCCTATGATAATGTAGTGGATTTTATCTGTCGGTTTTTGGGGATTTTATTTTTCTAATCTTCCATAGCTAGCCAATGTGGAGTATAACATATTATGCCAGTTTTTTTTTTTATTTCTAGACCTTGGTTTGGTGTGATATTCACAGTCTAATGATGCCTTCTGTTCAAACGGTTTTTAAGAATTTTTAAGAATAAACGGGTGTTTACAGAGTGCCTGCCTTTAGCCTTCAAGTTATATTTGCTGTATTTAATATACCACCTATTTAGCATGTGGTTCAGTTGTCATTTTGGAAGGAAATCACCCAGCCTTATCGTCTTAGTAGGTATGATGCCAGATTACATGGAATATTTATGTTTGGCATATCTGTGGTTTAATTTAGGAAAAACAAAAAAAGTCCTCTAGTTAGGTTGAAATGGTGGATTACAGAAACCAAAACTTAAAGATCCATGAAAAAGGGTCTGTTCAAAATTGAGTTTGGATTCTATAGTTGAGCACTGTTTATAAAGGAAGCTGGCTTGGAGTTTCAATGCTGTGCAATATTACTCGGACACTGTCCTATAAATAAAAAGTGTGTTTGAATATTGTTCAGTGATTTATTTTATTTTTTTAACTGTTACATTGTAATTTTAGTCTCAACCCTTTCGTTTGAGTAGCTTTTCATGTATTAAATATTTTGTACAGGGCTTCCCATTGCTGAGATGTCCTGACCCTTTACTTAATATTGTAAATGTGAGATGTGACATTGTTTACAGTGGCTTGTGCTGTCACACAGAGGACGAGGCTGAACGATTGTGCTGATTGATGTTTTTATTTTGTATTGATGTTTCAGAGGTCGATCAATAAAAAAACTCTGCAGTTTTAACAAGGTTTGTTTTTCTTTGCACAGTGGCAAAAGTTAAAGGACTTTAATCACACACACAAACCGGGTTCTGTGCATAATGCAACAAATGAAATGGTAAAGGACTGTACAAAAATAGAATTCAGTGTTTTTTACAATTACAGTAATGTTTTGAATATGCATTCACACTGATAATTGTTTTCCCTTTTGACTTTGTGCAATGTTCTGAACTTTTTATGTAAAGTGCATTAAACTATATTCACCTCTAATATTAAGCTTTTAGCATTATATAAACAAAACAGGTCAACACAAAAAGCAACATCTTTTTTTTTGTTGGGGTCAATGTGGGTAATTATACTTCACTTTTTTAATATGCAGAAAAATGTGAACCTAAACACGAAATATATATGTAAACATTTATATATCTTTTAATTCACATTCTTATAAAAGCTTCAGTTTGAAGAGTTAATGAACTAAACACCACATTGGTCATGCTGGTACATTTTAAATGATTCATATTTAACAGTTGGCAGGTGGTATTACGGTTTACTAATACTTAACTCTATAAAAAAAAAAGCCTCACAAAAAAGACAGTAAGTCTTTAAAAAAATAAAGTCCAAATCAGACTATGCTTAGTCTACGGTACACATTTAACTGTGGCAATGAATAAAAAGGCACAAGCAAAACTCCAGTAGACAGAAACAGCTAGCTGAAATCACAACTAGCCTTGGCAAAATAAATAAATAAATAGCTGAGACTGGAATGATTATTCAGTTATATACAAACAGCTGCTTCCCTGAATATAACATCATTAAACCTGCTAAAACCAGTTGTCAAAGACTTATTGCACAGTTAGTACCAGTTAGGCACAAAGATGGCAATAAACTAACCGATATGGTCCCAAGCAGACACTTGCTCAAGATAACAGGGGAAAAAAATGTTCTCAATGCTTAGATAAATGTATACATTTTAATTTGGGCCAGACGTTAAGTACAAATGCTCCAGTAACCATTGTGTTTGGCCCAATCAGGAATTCATTGCAAAGCTAATGTGTTTAAGGAAGCAAAAACATATAACACACACATCGTTTAACCGGTTTTTGGTTTGTTGGCACATAGCAGTCACGTGACAAATGCCCAAGTAGCAGTTTAAGTCTCTCAACCAATCAGCTGAAGTTGGTTTTACGAAGGTGCCTGTTGGGAATCTCAATTGCGCTGACCTGGAGAGGCCAAGAGCCGCCCATGATGCCTGCTTGAATGGCTACCCCGGTCACCACGGCCAGGTCAGGGTCCACTGAGGTGTTTGGTTCCTTTCCAAAGTACTGACTAATGAGCTGTCTAATGCAGGGGATCCTCGTAGACCCTCCCACCAGGACAATCTCATCCACTTCCTCTTTCTCTAGATGGCCCTCTATGAGGACAGTCTCAATGGGTGCCAGAATCTTCTGGAAGAGATCTGCATTCAGCTCCTCAAAGAGTTCCCGTGTCAGCTTCTCCTGAAACAGGACTTTTTCCTCTTGCGCTCCGTTCGCTCCCGTTGTCTGCAGGTAAAGAGGGACACGGAGGTGAACGTGAAGCTCCTGGGTGAGGTTGAGCTTGGCGGCCTCCACGGCCTGTCGGAGGAGGTGGATGTCTTCTTTAAGAGTAGGAGGCACGCCGTACTGCTGCCGCACTCGCTCGATGGTGTACTGCAGCAAACGCTGGGTGAAGTCCTGCCCTCCAAGCTTGTTATTACCTGTGGAGACGAAGACCATGTGTTAATCTCGTGCTGAAACAGGATGAAGGTTGTGCACCTGATGTGACACCATTTCCATGTGTGTTAGGTAAATGCCAGTGAGGTTTCGCTGAGATTGCACTACTCAAAACCTTCTAACCTAAATACCCATTGAGGTCAAACCACAGAGCCCGGGGAAAAACATAGTATGTGTATTCAAATACAGAAGGTCATAACCAGGGTTCTTGTCTTACCTTCTCTAAACAATGAATTTAAATGATTTTCTATGAATTTTCTAATCATTTGTGATGACTATAAGGATTTGAAAAAAAATAAAAATACAACTCACAAAAAATACTGTAGAACTGAACAAGAAAAACTTACATAACTACAAAAAATTCCATGAAATTTGAATTCATATATTTAGATTTTAACATTAATGTATTACAAATATAATATTATAAGATAATATAAATGAATTGCTTTATATTTTAAAGGTGTATGCTGCTGTGGGGAGTCATTTGAATGATGTATACCCACGTGAGATTGTCATTGTGCTCCTAACAGTTTTCTATTTTTAAAAAAATGTTTTACTTATGCATGGTGCAGGTCGCTCCCTTTGCTACGTCAAAGCGTAGTGTTGTTTGGGGATATGACTCGCGAAAATTAAACAGCTGAACATGCGCTTTGCCAGCAAAACAACCAGAAAATTGGTACTTGTACGGCTGAAGAAGCAGAAAATATCTCAGGTCACAAGACAGAAAAACCGACAAAGACAAATCACAAGCGTAAACATCAGTACTGGACATAAGTGGAACGATTTGACGATGGCGGAAATGTTTTTGTTGGACAGGACAGGTAAGGGAATTCATAATTGTGACTAAAAGCAAAACGCTTTATAAAATGATGAACCTGGCATTCAAGCCTTTAAACCATTTTAAAGAAAAGGGTGAGTGAAAATGATAAAGGATTATGTATTTTATATATTATAATATTAGTCTGAACAAAAACGACAAAACAAAAATGCAAATTTAATGTCTTCCAGGAGGTAGCGCTTACGTAAAAGCAGAAATAGCACTGCGCCTAGAAACACTAATGTATTTGTTATAATAAAATAGTATGACAACAGGAAAATACCATTGAACCCTTTCTGAAGAAAAAATATTAGAATATTAGATATTCAATATTAGAAGGACAACAAGTTTGCACGTAGTTTTGCACGGATTTTTCAATGCACAGAGTTTTCATAACGAATGAACAAGTGTGGTATTAGGGCAAAAAATCATTCAGAGTGCAACACTGTAATTAAAAAAGCTTCACATTTCTTGCATCCGTAAATGGACATCAGCTGAATTCTACATTAATGTGTACGTTAAATTAGAATTAACTGCTTGGCAACCATATACAACTAAAATTTGCTTCATGTTACACCCATTATTTCTTCCACCTCTTTGCTTTAATAAACAAACTTGCAATAATGGAGACAATACAGAGCAGGATGTGTCTCAAATATGTAAATAAAGTAGCCCTGCCCATTAATAGCCACACAAATATACCTACCATTGTAAAATCTCTCCTAGTTGATACATTTATAATGTCATATCACCCAGCTCACCTGCCATTGCTCTGGTAAGGAACATGCCACCCTGCTTATTAAGAAGTGACACATCTAGTGTTCCTCCTCCCAGATCCACCACCAGCACATTAAACACTTCTGCTTTATGCAGTCCATAAGCCATCGCTGCCGCCGTGGGCTCATTTATCACCCGCAGGATGTCCAGCCCTGATGAGGAAGACATGCACAATGATCGATCAGTTAACTATTATAGATTTAAACCAGAACATTATCAGCTTTTACAAGGATACTTGTACTGATTTCTATGGAAGCCAGTTTCCGCCACGTAATATAAAAATAAAAAAAAAGGTAATTGCAAAACAAGTCAGAATTCCGAGATATAAACTTAGAATTCTTACTTTTTTCTTGCAATTCTGAGTGTACATCTCACAACTCTGACTTTTTTCCTCTGAATTCCGAGTTTTCTCAGAATAGCAAGGGAAAAGTTTGAATTGTGAGATAAAGTCACAATTTACCTTTATTTATTTTTTGTTCGAGTGCCTTCCATAGATTCCAACAGCAAGACAACCAAGTTGTGACAGACTAAAGCTGTGGTTACATTAGCAAAATTTTGTGTGCAAAAAAAGGCGAGATATAAACTTAGAATTCTTACTTTTTTCTTGCAATTCTGAGTGTACATCTCACAACTCTGACTTTTTTCCTCTGAATTCCGAGTTTTCTCAGAATAGCAAGGGAAAAGTTTGAATTGTGAGATAAAGTCACAATTTACCTTTATTTATTTTTTGTTCGAGTGCCTTCCATAGATTCCAATAGCAAGACAACCAAGTTGTGACAGACTAAAGCTGTGGTTACATTAGCAAAATGTTGTGTGCAAAAAAAGGTCAATTGTCAATAGCATAGAGATGCATGAAGGACAGCTTGTCTTGCACTGAAGTTACTTTCAAACCAAGCAGCTTTCTGTTGGTCAATGCAGTGAATTTGTGTGAAAATGTTCCTAATTGTGGATTCCTAATTAAATGACTGGCTTTTGCAATTAATGTACACCTTAAGAAGTGAGTAGTAAACTGACCAGCTAGGTTAGCAGCTCTTATGGTGTAGTTTCTTTGCCTCTCATCAAACTCTGCTGGCACTGATATAACCGCTTTATCGATAGGTACTCCTAGTTGTTTCTCCGCCATCTTTTTCATTTTCAGCAGG